ATTCCTCATTCATTAATGTCTAACCTTATTATTTAAGTGTGCAGGATATTATTTAATTTTTTTAACAAATTTGTTAAATAAAGAAAAGTTAAGATACTTGCAAAATTTAAAGAAGAGTTACTCAATTTAAAAAGGAAAGAACAAAGTGATTAGTGAAGACAAAACTATTGTAACTAATTAAGGCATAACCAGACGCTAGGTTATAGAAGAAAGATGTATTAATGTTCAAATGAAGACTCTGAAAGTTCTATATAAAAGAGATTATCATTCTCCAAGTTTTCCTCGGTCAAATAGATCTTCATTTCTTTAAGTATACTTAAGGAAATTGCCGTTGTTTCATCATGATATGTTTCTATTTGATTGCAAGTCACCAATCCATCTTACCACTTTTCCTGCCATGCTAAGATGCTATCAAAACCAAACTATGTTACCAATTGTCACAGAAATTTACTGATTAATGATGTGTTTTCATCATGCCTATCGGAAATATTATTCTTACTATTGAGCAAAAAATTATGAAAGGAAACTGCTTTCAAAATCAAAATATCTTCTCGACATGGGAAAAAAAGAGAAGAGGAGGTATGAACCATTTTACCTTTTATCTTGCTTTAGATAATTAGCCTTGAAGCAATCAATGTCAATAGGGATTTTTCTAATATTTAGCCAAAATCAGGAGGCAAGTTCAATAATTGCTTATTGGACCAAAGGAGATATAAAATCCCATTAGCAATAATATTAACAACAATAACAATATGCCATCAGTAAAAATAATCATATGGTTTTTTTTTTAAATACAAATAATCATATGACTATGTTCAATTTTATTTTTGTCTATTTTGTTTTTCTTCTGTATAAGATTAGGAGCGAAACATTAGGTAACTTTCATAATATGATTTTCTTATAAACTTTATTTTGGATCTATCAATTGAAGTCAACTTGTATGAGGCAACTAAAATAATGCACTAAAAATAAAATAAATTTGTTTTGTAGCATCTTTATAATGCTCTGATTATTGCTAGAATTGGAATCAATTTATGTATAACTACTTGAAAATTGAATTTGAAAATACAAAAATAAAATATGACACTTATAGTATTGAATGTTTATTATACAGTTTAAATCTTGTATCAATGTAAAAAAATATAATATGTATTAATAACATAGGAAGAAATTTCACAATTCTACGAATGACATTGACTAAATATCCAAATAAGCCCTTAAACTATCTTAAAAAAAATTAATTAAGTTTTTATCGTTTTATAACATTCAAATAAACCCCTCTCATTAACAATTGACACTTTTTATACCACGTCATCTGTCATGTAGTAGGTTGACATATCATTTTGATAATATTATTATCACATGATAGATAACGTAACCTAAAATTATTGTTTAGGATGTGTTTTTTTTTTACCAAACCACATGCTCAAAAATTGCTGATTAAAGATTTTTAAAAAAATAATTGCTTCAAATAAATCTTTTGGTAACATTGAATAGGGTTTTTAACCAAAAAAAAAAGTAATTATGTTAATTTTTTGGTTTTTTATTAATTTTAAATTTAAAAAAAAAAAGGAAAAACGCAAATGAAAATTTGCAGAGAAACTAATCCTCAACTTTTTCTTTTGCTGGAGTACTTTCCTTACCCTTCTTGAGACCAGTACACTCATCTCTGCAATTTTTCATTTGCGTTTTTTTTTTTCAATTTAGAATTAATGAAGATTTAAAAGTTAATCTAATTTCCTTTTTTTGGGTTAAAAACCCTATTTAATGTTACGAAAGGAATAGGATTTATTTGAAGCAATTGGTTTTTTCCTTCAATTTTTTTTTTAAATTCTTAATCAATCATTTTTAGACATGTGGATAAGTAAAAAAAAATACATATCTTAATCCGTAATTTTATGTAACATTATCTACCACATGATAAAAACATCAAAATAACACGTCAATCTTGCAAATAATAGATGATGTGGTATTAAAAATAAATGAGAAAAACTTATTTGATTCAAAATAAAAAATTTAAGATTTATTTGACCGTAGTAAATGGATATTAGCTTAATTAATTTTTTTAAGATAGTTCATAAGTTTATATGTGTATTTAGCCAATGACATTTTAAAGCAACAACTTAGAAAATGAATTTCAAAAGTAAAAGAGTTGATACTTACATTATAGATTTGTAAAGATCCGATGTGTATCTCCTTTCAACCTTGACAAAATTAATTGCTTAACACATTCATGTAAGACTCAAATCTAACCTACATTTTAATTTAACAAACTGAGGAAAAAATAATATCACACAATAATAAAGTCAAACAATTATTAAAATATAGGAAGGTAGAAGAAGAGATCTCAATTTGCTCTGGTAATCTAATTTCTTTTTTTTTTTTGGTCCAAGTTACAGAAACAGACAGCTACATCATTTCTCTTTAGCTTATTAATTGATAGCCAAAGTACTCATTTGGACATAAACTTGCGAGAACAAGCTTATGGCTCTATTTCAAGGCCACAGTAGCAGTCAACTGAATCTCCATTTTGCTCTTTGACTGCAACATGACTTCAAATAGAGCTGAGAAAAATTTTCAATCCTCTCCCCCCACTGAAAAATGGTTATAAAAAGTAGCAAAAGATCAACGCAATACTATCTAAGATTGGTGATGATCATCTAAAATAACTCTATGAAGAAATGTCGGAATTTTCCAAGACTTTATGCTTGAAATGGCATTGAAAACCAGAACAAGCAAAAAAAGGCAAATCTATAACGCTGCGCTATGTAGGTATCTTCTCTCATACAGACCAGTTATTTGATCAGCAACAGCCCACATTATGGCTTGGCCAGGTGGTATCCTCATGAGCCGAGGTAGTAGTCCTTTCCACAAAGCACGAAGTCCTTCTTCAGCATATATTGTTCGGATAGCATGGATCATGCCTTTATACTTCAACTCACCTCCATCTCGACTTTGAGCCATCAATCTAGTTTTGACAACATCAAAGGGACCAGTACATACCGGACCTGCTGTTCCAGCAAGGAACCCAGATATCATAGACTGCCATGGTTGGAGGACTTTCCCATCGCCTTCATGTTTCTTCCATAATATTACATCAAAAGCATTCTTGGCTGTAAACATTGCAGCTTGGTTGGTCCCATTACGCATAACAGTTGGGGCAGCTCCTGCCCAGAGCCCAAAGAGGCCTTCTTCACGGATGATTGTACTAGCACAATGTACAGGACCTTTGTACTTTAGAAAGTCTGGACTTAGTCCTTTCTGTTGCTGCAGTCTAATTTTCACCACCTGCACAATCAAAAACCAGACCAAACTTCGAAGTAAATAAGGCTTAAAAATGCAACCTTATCCTAATCTCAACATAATAAGGTGCAAGAAATCACAATTTCTAAAGGAAATATAGAAACAGAGCAAAAAAGAACTGAAAAGCTAAAACCATGAGTGGGCATTCACCACTCCTACATGGTATGTCAAAAGTACAGCATGCAATTACTGAAAACTTGTTAATCATAGTGTGGCAATGCATTCTCCAAAGATATATGAATACTTTCCATTTCAAAAGGAAGAAACCTAAATTCGATTTGGTCAGTGTATTTAGTTGGATACGCCATAAGGAATTTTCTTCCATAGCTCAACCATCCAAACACCTCTTGTGCACTTTTGATCTTTAATCAATAACAATCAATTGCACAGGTTAAACCAGCAATTTAAACCTTTCAATGAGAAGATAAAATGTATTAAAAAAAAAAAGAGACTTGAAGAATTTACATGTATGCTCCATTAAGCCTAAATTAATAGATAACACTTTCTCTACTGGCCGCTGACAGAGTAAACCCCACTATCAAATCCTAATATCATTGTCCAAACAAGATTAATCCAACTGTTTTTCCCCTTTATACAGCCTTATTAAAAGTGGATAGCAAGCTTAATGGCAGCATGATACCGCCGCAGGCTTGACCTCACAATTTACCTTTTCAATTAATAAAAAAAGTAAGAGGAAAACTCTGAAAAATTCACCAGAGATAGTTGAACTTCACAAGATAGCACAAATTATCATCCATATATGGTTACTCAGTTAATGATTAAATACACCCCAAGACGCCCCTTAGTCAATATTTTGGTCAAAAAAGAAAACACCCAGGTATAAATTCAAAGTGAAACATTTAATTAAATCTAAAATCTACTAAGCAAACATCTATTGTTGATCCAAAAGGGACAAAAAATCCCAAGTTCAATCCCCCCCTAAGCACAATATATCGAAAAGTTGCAGAAAGAATAGGTTCAAGCCTCATTTCAGACCTCCAAAACAACGTGACAAGAAAAAAGGAACGCAAATGAAGAACAAATATTAAAGGAAAATTGTTGACTAATCTTTATAAACTACTAGCTCCTCAATTGACTTTCAAAGATATAAATAGAACCCAAATCAAAAACCACTAAGCAGAAAAAAGTTAAGCTGTTCAGCAAACAATTAAATATTGTTAACCAAACAATGAGGCTAACCTCAAAAGGCGTGACGATAACAAGGGCCTCAAGAACCCCAGCACCGAACCCAGCCAAAACCCGTCCTCGGTTACTCAACTTGCCAGTCTCCGAGTCCTTAAACGCGCCCTGCAACATCGCATTGGAGCCCATCCGCAGTGCGTACTTGAGCGTCAGGTGAGTAGCGAATGGAGTCAAACCTTTCCAAAGAGCCCGCACCCCTTCCGTATGGGACACGGTGGTGCCACAGTGGATGATTCCCTTGTAATTACCCGTCCTGTCCAATTGCAACCTGGTTTTGATTACATCGATCGGCTGCAAACAGCAGGCTTCAACGATACCCCCAAGGGACCCAGAAATGGCTTTCATGTAAGGTGGGATCGATTTCTTTGACTCCATCCTGGGATTTGGGTTGGTTTGAGATTCTTTCATGGCTATGGGATTTTGGTTGGGTTTTTTTTTAAAAAAAAAAAAGGTTGGGAATCAAGAAGAAGAAGAAGGAAGAAGAGAAGTTGGGGGAGCTTCTCTTCCTCCTTTACAGCATCCTTTTCCTTCAATTCTGAGTAATTATACGCAGGTACGGCGGCCCACGTGTTGACAGCAAGTCTGAATTGGAAATTCTTTGGACAGGTCAAAAGTAGACACCGAAGACGTGATTTCTCACTTCAATTTTCGTTTTTCTTTTTTTGTTTTTGACAATTTCGTTTTTACACTTGGCTGAACGAATGGTTACTGTGAACTTTGACAAACATTTTCACAAATATATATATATGAATGGAAAATTATTTTCTTATCAATCCAAAAAAATATCGTTTCCACTTTTTTTTTTCCTTTTCCCTTATATATTTCCCTTCAATATATGTAATAGAATATAAAACGGAATATAGTAAACTCAGAACGTCACTTTAAATGTTGTGTCGCGTGTTGACAGCCTTCCCTTCATTTTAATCAATTAATAAATTTTGGTTTTAAATTATTCTGGGTTGGTTAAGGTTAATTAAGAAGGCTATGATTTAGTGCGGGAAAGTATATGATAGTAGATGTAGACTTTTAAAAATTAATAATGTAGCCAATTTTTAGTGAGTTCATATCATACATGTGAGATAGAAAATCATATATATATATATATATATAATATTTATATATATGGTATATATATGGTTAAAATATTTAAGAAATCTCTATATAATAGTATTTTTTTAATTTAATTTTTTTTACTTAAAATCATAATATTTTAATTTTTTTAATTTTAAAAATTATTTTAATTTAATCTCTCTAATTTTTTTGTTTAAATTAACTATTATTGTACTGACGTGGTAATACCACATTAACATAAAAATGTGAGATGGCATCAATTTAAGTTGGAGTGTTGACATGGTAGTGCCTCGTCACTCTTGATACGCATGCATAGTAGTGCCATATCATTCTCATGATGACATAGTATCATATCATTATCATGATGACATGGTAATGCCACATCAATGTGTCATTTTGGAGTGTTTTTACACTCTCAAAAATCCTAGTTATAAAAACTCTTTAGAGCTTTCTTCTCTAAATAAGAAGGCTCAAACCAATATAGTTTTAGGGAAGAAAATGAAAACAATAAGAAAGAAAAAGAGAGAAGAAAGAAGAAAAGAAACACAAGCAAAATATAATTATTATTAAGGGTTTAGGTGTTGTGGTAACATATTCTTTTGAAAAATAAGAGTGCCACATCAATGTTTCAAAGTGAGCACTTAAACTCGAAGTGATGGCATGGTATTACTATGTCAACATCTAGTGCCATGTTAACGTCATAACGGTTAATGTAGATAGAAAATATTAAATGGAATAAATTGAAACAATTCTTAAAATTAAAGGACTAAAATATTATGATTTTGAATAGAGTGACTAAATTGAAGAAAATGTCCTGGTATATAGACTTTTCATGTATTTTAACTATATATATATATATAACATAATATAAAAGAAAGACTCAAAAGAACTTCCAAGTTGAACCACGTTGTGGCTTTCTTTGGATAACATGTGGTTAAATATTATTTTAAGTATTATGATTTTTACCTACAAAGGATTTTTAGGGGATGAAATGTGACATTGTAATTTGTCTCTGTATAGAGGGTATTTTGGGATTTTAGTCAAGAGAATGGTGTCATTTGAGAATTTGTGTATAAATTAAGAGAAACTTATGTTGGAATTTTTATATTTTTTGACAGATTTTGTAAAAAATAATATATTAAAATTTAACTCTTTTCTGACAGATTTATATATATTTTTAAAAAAAATTCTATCAAAATTCTTCAACGAATTTTCGACGAAAAGTATTTCCAACAACACTTTCAGAGAAGGAATTTCTAAGTGAAAATTCCGTTAGAAATCTGTAAAAAAAATATTTTGAACGGAAACTTGATTATTTTCGATATAAAATTCTGTCGAGAAAAGTTTATTTTTTTGTAGTGTACTAACAAGTATCTTACTATGTTAATTTATAGTACCCTCATGCAATACAAAAATAAACACATACCCAAGCATGGTATAGGTACATTAAATAGATATTAGTTTCGTACATTAAAATATACTTTCAAACGAATTTTTCATTTTTTCACTCATTATTTAAATATTTTTTATAAATTCAATAACTACATGTTGAGCCACCCACATAGTATACACACACTATATTATATATTATAAGATGCAAATTAAGTTATAGATTAAGTATGTTGATAAGTAAGAAAGTCTTTTAAAAATTATAATTTATCAAATTCAAAAATAGAAAATCAATTTTTTTAAATTACTATAACATATTTAAATATTATTTAAAAATTTGTGTGTAAATATTAAAATTTCAATAACCTTTCTTATCTGTCTGTTATTAACGATCTGAAAATTCAGGATATAATTTACAATGGAAAAGAGCTTTTTCACCCAAATTGTGTGTGCTTTAATCTCTTATTTATTTAAAATTGTTAATTTTATATGTTCAAAATACATTAGACTAGAAATTTTGTGAGATTTCCGTTTATATTTCAATAATTTTTCTTCGCCCATGATTTGAGATAGAAGACTAACTTAGGAAACTTCGATATAAGTAGTAAAAAAAGAAAAAGAAAAGTTAAAGAAGTTGTTAATATCATATTTAGTCATTAAAAATTCATGGTAATACTATATATATATATATATATGTATATGTATATACGTGTGACAATAATTACAACTATAATGCTATATGATTAAAATATCTTAAAATCTAGCTGAAAATATATCTTAAATCTCATTTAAAATATCTTAATATATTCCTTTAATTTGACCCTTTTAGCAGCATTAAGTTTTGCAAGAGAAGAGGCCAATAAAAGGCCAGAAAACATTTCTCTGCAATGGAGCCACAAAGTAACTTACTGAAAATTAGAAAAAGAGATATTATCCACCATATCTGAAGCATCTTTTCCTGCAACTTTAAGTAAGCAAGTCTCAGTTCTAACTCCAAGCTAATTTGTACAACGCTAGTATCTAGTGCTAATTAAGCTAAGCTAGTTCTAACTCTCAGTTGCTTGCCGGCTAGTTCAACTTCCATGCTGCTCCATTGTAGGGCTGCAAGAATTCTGCTTCATGATAAAGCATTGTCCAACTCCGCAGGTACTTTCGAGGCACGAACTCTTTCCATAGCATTTTTTGCCTAAATTAGGGCCCAAAAAAGAAACAAGAAGGTTTACAATCAGTGCAGAAAGCCATGGTCATGAAGTAGCTAGGTGCAGGAAGAAAGGGAAGTAATGCTTTACTTCTTGCTCCCAATTAGTGCGTGCCGTAATTATCAAAAGAGAAAGCATTTGAGTGATTAGTGCGCCGGTGATACCAAGCCACAGACCCTATCAGATGCATGATGATTATATAGCTTAGATTATGAGTAAAACCGCTTGCCTCCAACTGAGACTGACAAAAAGCATAAATAATAAGGTAAGTGAATCAAGAGAACTTTTTACCTTGCCACCAATTCGGAAGACAAAAGCTAATACAATAGACAGAGGAGTGCCAACAAGATAATAAGATCCAAGATTGATGTATGCACCTATCTTCTGCCAACCACATCCTCTAGCAATCCCTAAATGTTTACCAATTAGCAACTGAACTCTGTTCTATAGCTATCAATTCACCAACAGATCAATAAAGAATAATTTTCTAGGATCATCTCATGGTAGTTAATTCCTGGTCCATTTGATACTGTGGAAATCCATTTCTTGAGATATCAATAACAATGCTTTAGCAATAAATATAGGTCAAGATTAGAGGTTGCAATTGGATGAGTTCAAACGGATGGTTGGATTGCTTTACAGTTTGAGTTTTTTTGAGTTCGGGTCATCTCAGGTTTGGGTCGTTTTAGATTCATATATAAGCTTGTAAGGAAAAACCTGAAAGAACACATTGGACTCCATCTATAAAGTTGGATGTGGCAAGAATTGGAATCATAGCTGCGACGTATCTGATGACTTGTACGTCATTGCTATAAGCATAACCCCAGATGTTGCGCATCAATATCAGTGCCAATCCCACCAAAATACCCTGAGAAATAGCCAGGTATAGGACTAGACGCACAGCCAAATGAGCCGCTTTTGGATCTTCAGCTCCTAATTCATTCGACACCCGAATGCTACACAACAAAAGCACCAGCCATGTTAGTACATTGCTTAGGAGAGGGATTGTTCCATGTATAACTAACCTTGCAGCACTGCTCAGTCCAAAGGGAATCATCCAAATAACTGCAGTGGTATTAATGCTGGGAAAAATAAACATTGGCTTCATTAGCAAAAGAAGTGTTGAATAAACTTATTTGAGCAAAAGAAGAGTACATTGACAAAATCTGATTCAAACACTGACCAGATTGTAATCACTGAAGTTTCTAACTCTGGGTTAGGAAGAAGACCGGAGAGAAACACCAACAGTTGAAATGACCAATTTTCCAAGCTGCTTAATCCAGGCAAATGCTAAAAGTTAAATGGCTTCCTTGGAAGTTTGGTATGTATCTCACAGGTATATGGTAGTACTATTATAAATGTAGCAGAAAAAGAATGGTGTATTACTCAAAGGCACTGTCTGGGGAAATATGAGAAAAAAAAATATTGTTATGAGTATAAAACTGTTCATCCATTAATTTAACCTTTTGTTGATGGTTTAAAGCACTGAGATGTCGGCACTTACCAGACCATTACAGTGGAAGGAACAGCTAGGCTGAGGAAGGCAAAAATCTCATGCATGGACTCCCTTGAAAAGCTAGTCCAAGTTTCCGCACAAGAGGGAGAGAGCTTCATATAAAATGCCAACATCAACACATTGATCCAGTAGGAAATGGAACCTGCCAGAGCAGCACCTTTATTCCCAAGGCCAAATTTAAACACCAGAATCCAACACACAAAAATGTGTATCAAAGTTGTGATTCCAGAGCTTAACACCATTGGGAATACATTGTTTTGGGTTCTTAGGAATCTGAGAAGGCACTGAAGAATAGCATAGGCAAACAGGCTTGGGATCATGAAACGAGCATACACTCCGGCTGCCTGTGAAATTACAGGATCTTGGCCTATGGCAGCCAGAATTGATCCTGTGTTTGCCAAAACGATAGCAAGGGGTATGCTAATGAGTGAAAGAACAAACATGGCTCTTTGCGTGTGTATGCCCAACATACGATATTGCTTTGCTCCGTATGACTGGCCACAAAGAGTCTCCAACGCTGTTGACATCCCCAACTGTTCCAACAGAAGACAAATGGCTAATTCAACAGTAAGTCCGTAACAATTCAAAAGTAATGGGACTCATTTTAAGCAAACTGTCACAAAAATTATAGGACCAAAAGGTTAATTTTCTTACACCTTCCTTTTAGTTTCACAAGTAAATTTGAAATCCAAGGGAAATAATTTTGCTTTATTTAGATTTATCTCATCATAAGCTCTTATTATATATGCCTCTGGCTTTTACTAATCATGCAGACTGCAGTGTCTGTAATCTTGGAAGAGGCGGCAAAGTTCTGTAGGCTGGGTTGTTTCGTTAGCTCTGTTTTCAGCAATATTTTCTCTCTGTTTTTATCTGCATCTGTTCCTGTCTTTCTCTCAACAAACTGAAGTAACTAACAGCAACCAAGTGTCAAATTCTTCATTTAAGAAAGAGAAGTAAGAGAAACCCATCTCACCAGCAGGTTAAATGCCAGTACTGACGCGAAAGAAGTGGCCAGTGAAGCAGAAGAAAGAGCTAACGCACCAAGATGACCCACAAAAATAACAGATATCAATTGTAAGCAGTACAGCAACAAACTCTCACATATTAAAGGACCTGCCAGCCGTAGCTGCTTCTTCACTTCCTCAATGATCTCTTCTCGTCCAACTCCTTTTTCTCTGCTATTCTCTCCATTAAAACCTAATCGATCCTCCCGTGCTGAACTGTTCAGAAAGTACTGTTCATTTTCTCTCTCCATTGTATTTTCAACAGGTATGAGAATCACCCAAGGTGTTTTACTATGTAGCTTATTAGTGGTTGGAAGTTTAGTCCCTTCTCTTTTGAACTTTCAACAATAAATTTTCTGAAATGTTCCACCGGGTGGGGCAGCCAGCCAGCCAGTCGTTCATACAAGGCAGGTGGACAATTACAACTGTACGTTAGATCACTTTGATATTTTACAAAGGGCACGTTTGGTACATTGGATCTCCTTATTCCACTGTCTAGTCTTTGAGGTATCAGTTTTGAGATAAGAGAAGCCCTTAATCATGATATCAGTGCAGGCGTTTAGCTCAGAATGATAAGAGGGTGCAAGGGGATTTGGGTTCTTTCCCTCCCTCCCTAACCAACGCCTGCAACTTCCTCTGTTTCAAAATGTTATTACCATAGCTGAATTTGCATTTACTCACTGCTTCAAGGAGTTGACTTCTACTTGATTATTCTTTATAGCAAAAATCTTTACAATAATGTTCCCATTTTTGGTTCCTATAAGTAGGAAGGTTATCCCATTCTTGGAAAAGCAACTTCTGCCATTCTTGAAATAGATTCACTATTCAAACAGGATTAAGTCCCTACAGATCTGCACAAAGTATGTGGCTCAAGCACCTTCAATATTTTTAGGTGAAAAATTAAGTTTATTCTTTGATGAGATGATAAAAATCTACTTCATGACACAACTTCCACTGGGATCACATATTCGTATACTCTCTCCATGGCTTTCCGTGCCTGAACAAAGTGGTGAAAAGTCAAATCTTTAGTAAAATTGCGTCAACAAGTATATAAAAGATCATAGACGATGACTAAATTATTGAAAGAGGTGAAATATTTTACCTCTTCCTGCCAGTTAGTTTGTATTGTAATAATACTCAGAGAAGTTACTTGAACAGCAAGTGCACATATGATTCCCAGCCAGAGCCCCTAAACACCAGAGAACATATATGATAGCTAGAATAAGTAAGAATACAAGAAAATCACTTCGGTTGCTGCTTGCTTTTAAATGAACTAACAAGAAATGAATGAAGCAAAACATTCAAAGCAAGAAAACGAAAAAATGATGATTTTTACCCTTCCACCAACATTGAGTACAAAAGCTAACAAAATAGCACATGGAACCCCCACCAAATAATAAGATCCAAGATTGACATATGCGCCAATCTTCTGCCATCCACACCCTCTAGCAATGCCTGAAATACCAAATGAATACTAACTGATAAGCTGCAAGATTTGGATAGTCAACATCAGTTAAAGAACAAATGGAAAATACTTAGAGAATACAGTAAATTAGCTATGTTCAATTCATGTTCTGACTTCTTGACTTAATTGAGAAATCATATCCGGAAGAATACTAGTGTCCTCTACACTAGGGAGTCAGAATTACATGTTTCATGAATCTTTCATACCATGCATATAAAGCAATCCCTTGATGACTGAAATGGAGGATGGAAACCGGAGTATGAAACAGATTAAAGTACTTATGATCAGTAGAACGATTATGAATGTGCATATCAAAGAAACATACTTTAATCATCATTAACTGCGTTTATCTGCAACCACCAGCTATTCTAGTTCATGGAGATTAGTTTCAAAATTCCTTGCTCTCAGAAACTACAAAATTCCTACTGATGTAAGGAAAGGGGAAAACCTGAGAGAACACTCTGGAGGCCATCCAAAAAGCATGAAGTTGCTAGAATTGGCATCATGGCTGCTACATATTTAACCACTTCTACTTCATTGCTATAAGCATAGCCCCAAATGTTGCGAATCAATATCAGGATTGATCCCACCAAAAGGCCCTCGAAAATGGTCATGACTATGACAAAACATGCAGCGAAACGTGCTGCTTCTGGATTTCCTGCTCCTAATTCATTTGAGACTCGAGTGCTATACAAAACATCAAACTCATTAAGAAAAACTAAGTGAATATTTGAAAGATAAATTTAATGCCTCAATGTTTTAGCTTCTGATCAAAATTGAGACTGCATTACAAAAAAAAAAAAAAAAAAAAGGAAAGCTGCTATTAGCATGCCTTACCTCACAGCACCACTAAGACCAACAGGTATCATCCAAACAGTGTAAGCAGTGTTAAGACTGGAAATTGAAATGTTGGATAAGGTTGATATTTTACATTGATAAGAAACAATGATCATTTAAAATGTTCAGAAAATTGTTGGCAAAAATAGCTATTGGAAGTTCAAAACTAACCAAATAGAGAGCACTGAAGTTTGTAACTCTGGATTAGGAAGAAGACCTGATAGCAGAACTACCATTTCAAATGACCACAATTCCAAGCTGTTCAGAGTCAAGGCAAATTACATATGTATATGATACAAAATTAATAAGTATACACAAGACCAAGCAAATTGATACCATGCTTACTTTCTAGGTGATTTAAAGTGAACTTTGCGACTGGATTCATAGCAAAGTAGTGATGAAATGAAATTCACTTCTTCTTTGTCTATACACATGTGTGACTTTTAAGAGGAAAAAGAGAACCAAGAGCAATTACCAGACCATAATAGCTGATGGAATAGCGAGTCGAAGAAAAGTGAATATATTGTGAAAGGCCTCCTTTGAGAATCCTGCCCAAGTCTTTGCACATGAAGGAGAAAACTTAACATAAAACACCAACAAGAACACATTTATCCAATTTGAGATCGAATTTGCCAAGGCAGCACCTCCAAATCCAAGGCCAGATTTGAAAACCATGATCCAACAGACAAGAATGTGCAGTAAAGTTGTAATTCCAGAGCAAATCATCATTGGGAAAACAATGTTTTGAGTTTGCAAGAATTT